AAAATCACAGCTTGTAGGCCCTAGGGCTTTTTTGAACTATAATTAATTGTCCTCAAGCCTCCCTTTGAGGGACGTTGTTGTCCTTGAGCTTCTGTTTGTGGGTTTTTAAAACTCTTTTGTTAATGAAATTAAGAGCCACATAGGGTTCCTGGTTTTCTATGTATCAGATGATAACTGTTCTGAGATTCTCCAAGACTCTTGACTTTTAATTCTTTAGTTGGCAGAGAAGAGAAACCTGCCACGGAACCCCTTGAAAGCATCAGGCCAATAATATTTCACATAAACATTATCAACATTTTTTCAACTTAAGAGATATTTTTCATTACAAAATAAACTCAGTTTACATACAAGGTAACTTTCAAAATCTATAACTTTATTATAACATTTTATTTTATATAAAAAGGTGACTGTAATAGTAATGAGGGAAGTAAATCCAATAAATACTAGATTAAGGAACTGCTTTTAAATGCACATTAAAAAGCAGCAAAATTCTATTTTGTTTATAAAGGTATTCAAGCACAGGAAAGCTTTCAATATTGGAGGAGAATAAATAAATAAATAAATATTATAATGAAATAAATCAGGTCTCAGATGACAGCTTTTCAACACAACAAAGACATACAAAATAAATAAAATATGTTTAAATTACATGACTTTAGTCCCTGTAGTGTTTGGTAAATTTCTGCTAGGACTATGACAATGTTAGAAGAAAATCTGTCCTGACTTGCTAGCTCAATGCAGCAGTGGTAGAGGTCTTAGCAGGAACTCCAAACTTCAAACAGAATGCTATGGCCAAGCTGTGAATGCCAAGGCTCCAACTGTTTTCTTTGCGTGACTCCATAAGGGCTTTTGAAGAAGCAATTTCTAGCTAGCTAATTTATTACTAGTCTCTGGTAGTGATCTTGGTTCTGAAATCCTTCTGGTAGATTCTGTGAGCTACTTTTCTTGGCGTACACATAACTGTGAGCAGAACTGTAACCCTGCTCCATTCCATCTTCATATCCAGTTCTTATATGCTCTGATTTGATTAGCTTTGTCTATCTTTTGTGGCTTAACTTTTTTTTTCCTTTCCCTCATTCTGTTCTTAGATTTGTAAATACTATTTTTTTCTAGGCTGACCATGTATATTGTACCTTTGTTTCCTGCTTAGCTGTAGTAAAAACCTCCTTATAATTAGTATCTAGGCTGACATCGATGAAGTAGATAATGCTGATATAATTGCTTCTGTTTGTGTTTTGTCAAATCCATGAGTTCAAGTTTTGAACACTGGTTCTGGATACCCAGTATATGAGTATCATAAATTAACTTTTTTCCTTTTTTTCTTTTCTTTTCTTTTTTTTTCTTTTTTCTAGACAAGGTTTTTCTGTAGCTTTGGAGGCTGTCCTGGAACTGGCTCAGTAGACCAGGCTGGCTTCAAACTCACAGAGATTGTCTGCCTCTGCCTTCTGAGTGCAGGGATTAAAGGTGTGTTCCCCCACTGCCTGGCTTCTTAACCTTTTGTCTAAAGGAGTAGCTTTCTTTCATTGTGATGACCAAGGGATCTCTGTACAGGACAAAGGAAAAAATGCTGTGATGAAGATTTAACTCTTAACAGAACACAGGAGAAGTATTAGATTGCTTAGCAAAAAGAACATGAAATCTATGAAGTAGTATATAAACATATCCACCGCTTCAGGGTCAAGATAAAGGGTTCTGGGAGAAAGTTTTCCGACAGATGCTAGGTTCTTTGGAGGCATCACTGTGGGATATCAAACAAAGAAAAGCAACCACAATGGTGTTGTACTAGGTGAATTCAGTAGAAGTCTGATCCAAGGTTCTAGGGAAAGTTGTTCTGAGGAATACTTGACCAGCAGCACTTCTCCTGAGATACATCTACCTCTCTATGCTGAGAGCTCCTTAGAGTCACTATGTGATAACCACAGTACATTACAACAGTCCTTGTCCTAAGCCTCGGAACAAGGGTGAAGACAATACACCACCTTGCAAAAGCTTCCAGAGTGTTCTGGATACCCAGATGTCACACTGCTCCAGTAGTCCTTAGGACAGAACATGCATTTCCAGGGACTGTCTATTGTCCACGAGTTTCACAACATCATGATTAATTTAGGATATATGGGAGACAGAATGAAATGTCAGAGAACTCACAGGCCCACTGTCCTATGTTTCTGTTCTCTACTTGCTCTTTCTATGCCCATGGCTAAATCTTGTCCTCATTAAATACATTTCAGGGTTCTTCCAGGAACCACAGCAACAAAAATAGGAAAAACATGTCTAGTGTTTGCCTGAAAGAAAAGAGCACTCAATGTTTAAAACCAGTTTAATTTTCCCTTCGGAAAATTTTTTTTGGATTTTATAAATGAGTAAACCAGGACCCAATACTGTGCATTGTAAAATATTTTCAAAATATATTTCCATTTTTAGTATTCAAACAAATTTTAGTTCCATCCCAGGCCCTCTTGATCTTTTACTTCCTGTTGTGCATCCTTTTTCTTTCTCTACCCACCTTTCCCCTTCTCTTTTCCTGCCAAATAATAATCGGCAGACTGTAGTGTTAAGAGGTAATTCAAGCGATTTTTTCATTCTCTTCCAATGAGTGACTTTCACATTTATTTGGGATTTGATATATAAAAATGACAAAAGTACTTTAACAGTTTAAAACATAATTTGTCAAAACAAAGTTCTGCCATTAAAAAAACAAGGGATTTTCATCATCATCAGAAATAATTTTATTATTATCTATTTTTAAAGCAATTCAAAGAAATTGGTAGCAAAATGGCACATAGACAATAAACCTAACAAATTGAAGGGCTAAGAGAACAATTACTTCATGTTTTATCTTCATGTGCAAGTGTAAGTTTTTAAAAAAGGCAGCAGTTGTTGAAAGACTTTAGTAAGCATCATTTATTCTTTAAGTAACTGGAAAGTCTATAAACTATCATTGTTATAGCAAGCAATATTAATTCTGTCAAATATTAAATTTGGACCAATACTCATAATCAAAAAATAATTACTTTAAAATTTACGAAATAAAAGTTTTAGTTTTACAGGAAATATAATCATATCCTAGTTTAAAATCCCAGTCTTAGCAACTGTCATAATGCAAAAATACTAAACTTCAGATCTCATTGGGAAATAGAAGGCTTTTAAAATCTGACATTTATTCCTGAAAGAACTATAATGGAATAAAAAATGTCAATCTAAAGAAATATCATACGTGACTAATGATATCCAAATGTAAAATAAGTCAGTATATTCAATATCTTATCAATTGCATACATTAATTAAATTCTGCTTTCAGTTTTAAAATCATGTGTTGTTTTTCAAATGTATTTCACATTTATAACCTACACACATATTTGCATACAATCATGACTTTTTAAGGCATGCTCTCAATTTGAAGTAACTTGCTCTAACCAAATTTCTCTGAAGACTAGAGGGTTTCTATCTCCCCATTTTGAGGGAATTCTCCATGTTTGTTTTATTCTAACTTATGGGTAATATAAAATACTGACAATTAAAAAAAAAGACATTCTATTTCCTCTAGTCAAATTGTAAAATGGCTGGAAGATCTGATCTCACATTTTATATTTCTATTTTTCTGTATAATTATTGGGAGGGTGTAAGGCTTCATTTTTAAAATTTTTCTGTGATCTATTTCATTATGATAAGAAAGGAGAAAATATTCCATTTCTTACATGGACTATTTTAAGTTGTAAGTGTCAAGTTCATGACTAAAGAAATAGATAAAAATTAGAATTTTTATTTTTGAAATATACCAACATATCTCTCATGGAACACTTTATTACAGATTTGGCAAACTGCGTATGCATTCATTCTCGTGCATTGTTGTATTTGTCAAGAGCAAAATAGGGAATAAAGACAAAAGTATTAGTTATGTTAAATTTATGTCAAATTCTGAAAAGCTCTTATTTAATTTAAAATGCAATAAATATCTGTTAATGACATTTCCTTACACTGTTAAAGTATAGATATGTTTGATAATTTTTATATTAAAACAGATTTTAAGTGTGAATATTTAATATCAAAGACATTTAGAGAATGCTAAAGGTTTTAAAGTGTCCCTGTGATCCATAAATATTAACTTTGATCCATTTTCCTAATGAAATTTGTTGTATAGCTAAATGGAAAATATTAAAGCCAACAGTAATGGAAGTCATCACTGCTCATCTGATATATACAGGTAATATTTCAATTCTCACATTCATGTTAGTTGAAAAGATATGTATTGTTTTCTCTATGTTAGGTATTTTTTTAGGAGAACAAAAATATTTTCTCTTAAGTAAATGTTTCTTGGCATAAAATGTGCATTAGACATGAAGTTATGAAAAAGCCCAGGTTTTTTTGTGTTTTAGTTTCTTCTGAATAATTAAACATGCTATGGATATTTCAGATTCTAAAATGAACACAATAATATACAGAAAGATAGACATAAATGACTCTAAAGATCTATTCTGAAGAAAACTATGATTCTTAGGCAGAAGTCAGCCACAGAAGTTAATGGTTAATTTGTAGATAGAGATAAGCATACATTCTCAATGGGCTCAATTTTAGAAAGAGCAAATTTAAATAATATAATGACATACTTAATTATAAGGAGAAAATCAGGCTTCAGTGCCCTTGTGATGCACTGACTACAGATGGATTTCTTTATTTTCATACAGCCTTAGTGATGTTTTAAAATAGGATGCACACAAGACTGATTATTCTTAAACAGTTAAATATCAGATTTTAACTTCTGCATTTTATGGTCATTTTCAGAATCCCCCACTGAAGAAATTGAAATACTAACCAGGAAAATGTCAATAAATACCACATTAAGTTTCAAAATGATCTGTATTTCTAAGAGAATAGATTTTGTTTTTAAATAGAAGGTGAGAAATTGAATACATTCCAGTCATTTCCTTAGGACCATCTACAATATTTTAGTGATTTCAAGCAAGATCTCTGTAGGGATAATAAGGTCTCTTATTTTATTTTCATCAGAGTTGAGTTTCCTCCCGAGAATCTTGAACAGCGGCATTGCAGATGCTGTTTTTCCTACTGGGTTCACTGTTTGGAAGGTAGGACAGTGGATCTGGTCGGATCAAGTATCTACCAAAGGAAAGCAAAGCAAAAAGCTGCATTAGTCAATCAAGGTAAACAAAGTGTCACTAGAAATATTCACTTACTGTTTGTTCTATGTGTAAGTTATCTAAACTGTTACTTTATAAAAGCTGACAGAGACACTCACTGTAATCAGCCTGATATGATTAAATGATAAATGCTAATGAATGAAGTATTACTCTTTTCATTATGATGCTTCAATTGGTCTAAGTCCATAATTTATTTTTCCTTTCTACTTTCTACCATAAACACTGGTTATTTTCTATTAAGATCTACAGCATAACCATTATTGAGTCAGTACTTAATTACTCTTGCACTTATTTTTATCATTCATACAACTAAGAATTTGTTGTAGGTGATTTGAAAAGTATATCAAATTTACATAGTTAATTATTGTTATGGAAAATATTATGCCTAGGTGACATTTGGATTATTGGAAAATTTGTTCATCTGGTCTAAGATCTGGTATTTAAGATAATAATACTGAAATATAAAAGCCAATTTATATGTTTTTACTAATTCTTGTTTGTTTGTTGATGTCATTTGGTCTCATTATCAAGTACTAACTGTCCTAAAGCTCTCTATGTAGGCCAGGCTAGCCTACAGGCTATTGGGGACATTCTTGCTTCTTCCTGCAACTTCTGGGATTACATGCAAGAGCCACCATGTGAGTCTTACAAAATCATTCTTAGTAAGTTCTGTGAGGAAATAAGAAAATGTTCATTTGACAATCTCAGATGTTCCATTAATATTTGGATTTGTCATGCTGTGAAATCGCATGTGCCATTATTACATCATTACTTGCTACCAGTTCAGAATACCACATGTGTGTGTGTGTGTGTGTGTGTGTGTGTGTGTGTGTGTATGTAAATGACCTCTGTTCTGTAGAAGACTATAATGTCACTTATAAAGCAGATATAAAGGAGAAAAGGGAATTCTAAACAACCCCCAAACATAATCCATCAAGATAATAGTTTATTAAGTGATTTGGGCTTAATCTTTTTAAAAAAAAATAGGCTTGAGAAATTAAAAGCAGGAAGATCATGCCAAAGTGACTTGAGTAAGGAGAGGCAAGCACAGAGGAAGGGCTGTTCCTGCTATAATTTAATAAAGGAGTTTGACTAGACAGCTGGTTAGAGAAAGGAGTAGTAGAACGTAAATCAGAAAGAAAGGCAGCACAGAGATAATGGAGGTTATTAAAGAATGGTTTTCTAGGATAGTCATGTTGCAGGTGAAAATGAAAATGGAATTCCATATTAATATATTAATTTTAGAAGGAAGTAAAAAAACACTAGGAAACTAATTTTAAAATGAGTACCTAACAATGAATGTACTTTTCTTCTTAAAACCTGTATGGGAAAAAATTCTTGTAGTACAGCCCTTAATAAGTATGATGAATGATAACTGGAAGCACCTCAGTCTAGTTTCTTCAATCAAATAAAAGTTTAAATTAGTGTCCTAGGGTCTATTAATGGAATTTCACTATCCATGCACACTGCTTTCTAATTACTTGAAATTTCAATAGCATTGTAGATCAATGAAGAAAACTAATAGCACACATTAAGCCATTTAACGACATTTCATCAAGTGATTTATTGTTTCAGAATCAAATTAATGTTGCTCTTTCATTTGGAATGAACTTCTTGAAGTGAAATTTTAGAAAAAAATACAAAATGTACAAGTATTATTCATTACCCACTAAATCCATTCATATTTTGACAAACACCACCTTCTACAATATTATCACTACAAGCCAGCATTTGACAGAATGCATTCATTTGGTTCTCCTTTGATCTGCTACATGTCATGGTAGATACGATAATGTGCCATAGCCTGAGTTCTGCTAAGCCTTCTATCAAGGCCATAAATACAGTCACTGCAACCATGTGAAGACCATAATTTCATAGCACTTACATTGATGTTTTTTTCTTAAATTTAATTAAAATAAGAGTGTTCAAAGAGCAGTAAATTCCTTGCAAGCATGCCTGATTTATTGTATGCATTGTAAATAAATGTCCTAGTTATAGGCTGGAAAATTTCATAATTAGCCTATCCTGGCACTCGATCTGGAGACCAGGCTGGCCTGGCACTCACAGAGATCTGCCTGTCTCTGCCTCCCGAGTGCTGGGATTAAAGGTGTGTGCTGCCAACGCCAAGCTCTATATTTTTTCAATGAAGAAATAAAATAACAAATGTGTAAATGTTATGTGATTGTCAGGGACTATAGAAAAGTTCCATTATGGAATGTCTTAAGGTCCAGTCTCTGGCTTCAGTAAACAGGAGCACCTGAAAGCTCAGGCCCACTATTGTATTGCTAATGCCAGCAGGTCTACTATTGTTTACCATGGCCTCAGGGTAGAATGCCTCCTAATTTGCATCTCTATGGGCCTAAGCATCTGAATAGGCCTGCACTGGGGCAGAGGTGCGAAGAGTGTAAGTAACAAGTGAGGACAGAGAGTTAGGAGCCATCTAGGGGAGAGGAGTCAATGGAAGGACAGAAATGGTAGCCATAGAAGCATGGTTAAGAAACATCTAAGAAGATGCTAAATAAACAAGAGACTCTAATTTTACAGCATGGAACTGAGATCTCTCTAAAGATGACAAGATGCCTGTGTTTGGTCTTTATTGCCGTTGGGTTGCTAGGAGTTTCCAAGCCCAAGCTCTGCCACTCAGGCAGAACCTCATGGCTGGCATGGCTTGGAGCTGAGACTGGCTGGGCTATGACATGTGATACTATGTACTTGACAATTTACTGGTAAAAGAAAGTCTGTAAAGATAGATTATACACTCCTGGGTAAGTATAGAAGTAAGAGTAGAAGGATAGATGATGGAGATGGAAAGCTTTAACCCATCTGTGGTGCAAGACTTCCTTAACAAGGGATGAAATATTCCAGGATTGAATCGTGATAATTTCTTCGTTGCCATGAAAAATGCTTAAAGACATTAATTTCTATGGGTATATGTTTATTTTACCCCAGTAAAATTATTTAAATGTGTCTTCTATTATATTCTAAAGGCATGCAGACTATTTAAATTGATTCTTACAAGAAAACAGAACCCAAAAAGCATGGGAAGAAAAAGAAAAACTGGCAAATGGTATTGTACCTAGGCAAAAAAATTGGCCAGCCAAAGGATGATCAACAAAGTGTAAACTATGAAGTGAGAGATGGTTTTGGAAGTATTCATTCAATAAGTGACATAATATCTAGAATACAGGGGGAGTTCAACCAATTTAACAACAGTAAAAATCCCAAAAGTTATTAATACAATTAAAAGTCTACAAACAACCTGAAACAACAGTTCTCATACAAATTCTTGAAAAATAAAACAAACAAACAAAAAACCCATTCAAACCTTAGATGAATGCAAATCAAAAGAGTGATTATTGTATCACTTCTTTTGGAATAGCTATTATACATAAGATCAGAGAGACCAAATATTGCTAGAGATCTTTAGAGCTATATACAATTGGATACTTCACTTTTTTCTTTGAGCTGTTGTCCAATATAGTACAGATTTTCTCTCATTGTGTAAGTGCATATTTGCCAAGAAAATAGGAAATGTTTGCTACTACTTCCTCATTTAATGAGCCTTCTTCTCAACCACTCTACACTTTATAGTACACAGAGAAACACAGGGCTGCATATGCTTGCCCAAAGTAGCTTTTCCCAAGCATGCTCATCATGAGATGAAATCAGGGACTATAATGGTAGATAAAATAGAAGGTAGATTAGTAATTTAGATAACACTAATCTGCTATGTGAGCTCAACTTACACAACATCATTCAGCTCAAGCCTGGTGTCTGGAGATGGATTAATCAGGATGTAGGACAGGGTGCTTTGATGATCATTCATTTCATCTGAAAGAAAAATAAATGTTAAGTTTGTTGTGGTTCACACAAAACTTCAGAAATTGCTGTACTTTTGTTTAAATCCTAGAGTTGTCAGTAAGAACTTGCTGTAGTTGCTTTTTTTTTTCTCTTTTTCAGTTTTTAATGGATGTACATTTGGTTCTCAAATTTCTGTCATCTGAAATATCTACACAGCACCTACTTTTTGTTCCAGTAGATGATAAAAATAAAGTATCTAATTCTGTTCTATGTAACCATAGTTACATTCTCTCCTGAAAGTCATTACAATTAACAAGTATTCCTACTAAAGAAATTATTATGAAACATTTACTTGATTCATTTCCCTTTATAATAATAAAAAAAATAATTAGAAGTAAACACCATCAGCCCAGAGAACATTTATCTAGGAAACTCCTAAAAAATAACCTAGTCATACATATTTAGAAGGTATTAGAGAACTGCATTAAAATATGCACAGCTTTAGTATTCATGTCTTCATGACACAATTTGTTGCTTTGTTTAGGAATACAGAGAGTCCTTTGTAAAAGTATTTAAGGTTACATTTTAAGGAGACTACACTGGCAAATATTTTTCTTCTTCTTATCAGTCATGTTGGGAAGTACTGGTATGGTGAGGACACTTAATGTCTTTAGAGTACTGGGCTATGAGCTGAAATAGTTCTTAATAGATCAAGTTAATTTAAAAGAGTAAGTTTTTAAGCCCTGACCCACACAGGTTGGCTTTATATGTCACTCTGTAAGTTTCTATTTTATCTACACACCTGCTATGTGATATAGTTGAGGGGCTACACAAAACATCGAAACTGAACCTGTATTAGAATTTCTACCCCCTATAATATGACTTAAATAAACTTCATTTCTTTAATAGTATCCAAGTCCAAGTACCAGATATATCAATAAGAAGCTCACCAAATACAAAATGACAATAGTCATTTTAAAACTGTAAAATCTTTGTAGATCTTGATGTTATACATTTTAAGAGTATTATAAGATGCAAAGATAAAGTCACGTGAACACATACGTCAATGACTACCTTTCTTTCAAAGGATAAAGTTTATCAATTTACTTAAAACCACAACAATCTAAAGGATTAGTATTCTTTTAGTCACTGCACTTGTAAATAAGCATAGTTCTTGAAGGCAATACTGTATTAAGTTTGAAGAAAAGTCTAATTATATCTTACCAAAGAAAGTTCCTCAATATTTAAATATTTCTTTAAAGTTCATGTGAGTCCAACATAGCTGAACCTAATAAACATTTTGTTGTACTGAAATGCTATTCTCACAAATAATTTTATTCATTACATACATTTCAGTAGAAATAATGCCCTTCTATTGTCATAATAAATTTTGCTTTTTTTCAGTTGACATGCAAATCTACTTTAAAGCCTATAAATCAAAGTTACTATCTCACAGGGCAGACAAATTACAGAATAGGACAGTCTACCAAATGTTTACCAGTAAAAATGAATGATATGACAGACTTTGAAGATGCCCTATGGAAGGTCTCACCCTTCCTGGAGAGCAGAAAGGGGATGGGATAGGGGGTTAGTGGAGGGCAGGGGAGGAAGGGAGGGAGAGGGAACTGCGATTGACATGTAAAACAAGCTTGTTTCTAATTTGAATAAAAATAAACTGATTAAATTCATATTCAAATAAAGTAATATATTTGGTGACTAACTGATGGAGGAGATACAGAAAAACCTCTGCATCCTCCCTGTTTAGGGCCAGGGTTGCCAGTAAAAACAAAGAATGCCCAAGGATGTGTAAACCACAGTTAATATTTAACAACCAAACTGCTTAGCACAAATAAGGCCTAAAGGTTGCATGTGAAACACTGAAAAATTATTTGAAAGTCAAATGCAGCTGGGAATCCAGTATATTTATTTGCTAAGTCTGGGAATCATACTTAGGGATGGATGGTTAAATCAACAGGCTGGAGATTGAAATCAAAATTTGTTATACAAATGATATTTATTCTGAGAATAGTCACAAATCATGCATAAATCACATTATACTGACATGAGTTTATCAAGATCATATATCTCTATGAAAAGTAAGTTTGATTCATATGTTCTCTGGAAAAAAAATTCTTTTTTGTGTGAATTATAACAACTTCTTTTCAAAGAAGGAACTCAAATAATGGTGTGCTCTTGACCCTAAATCATAACACTCTGAACAGCAGTAGGTATACTAGAAAAATCTCCATTTCATTTGGATGTGAGCAACTCAGTTTCTAAAATAAACAACAGTATTCCTGAACTGCGATACAAAGAAGATAATTTTGCCAGACCACCTCTTGCTCAGTGTAGATACCCAGTCACACTCTGTCATTAACAGAGAACTCTCCTTTTACTTTTGGATACAAGTCAAGAGACAGGGGTAATCTCATTTTGTCACAAAGCTTTCTAGATAGTTATGAGTTTTTCTTAAAGTGAATGCAATTATTTTTTCAATATTTTGGTTTTTTGCTCAATTAGCCTATTTACCATATCAAATGAACATGTCAATTGTGCAGCTGGCTCTAAGAATGATGTTGAATATGTTGATAATATACTCAGTGATTTCACAAGTTTTAAATCAAGGCACGGATGAGGTCACAGTCAGAATCAGCAATTCCAGGTTCTTTCATCCCTCCTCAATGACTAGTCCTCATGGAAGAGGAATGCCATCCTTTTGATTTAGGTTAAAAGTAGTTTTTGAGTTCAAAACCATCCTTTCAAGTCTGCCTTGCAATAGAGCTCAGTCTGACCCCCAGCTTGTCTGTCACACTTTGTCTGAAGGCCTGCAGTTATCTTTTTCTCTTTGTCATTTTGCATTTGAGAATTAATAAGCACCTTTTATGTTTATTGTGGACACACTTCAAAGTGACATTCACCAATCATTTTATTGGCCACACACTACTATTTAGTCCTTCTCTTTGTTATGCTTTCTTTATTTCTCAATTCTATAAGGGTCAAATTAGTAGGTAGGTCTGATGGATTATTAAAATCTTCCATAATTATCATTAACAATGCATGCATATATATGGTTGTGCCAATAACAGAATACAATACTTACTGGAAAATGGATTTGCTTTATATTCTGTTGCATGAAATCATAGAATCAAGATTCTATTTCCTACCATCAGAAATGTACTAAGACTCTTCTATGAATATACTGTGTGAATACAGCTAAATCTGACATTACAAAACTGAAAAATGCCATATAGTTAAAATTACTGCTGTTGAAATTGTTTCACACACAGTGGATAAAGACAGGCAGTTGAACAAATGTTGCTAAGAAAGACAGAGATGCACCCTCAGGACAATGACATTAGATTCACACCTTTCATTCTATATAAAGCTTAATTTGAAATGAACCAAATACTTTATTTTAAAGCATGAAATGTTGAAACTTCTGGAGGAAAACATAGGGGATCCACTTCAGGATGCCAGTGTGGAAAAGAGCTTCCTAATGGGCTTCAGTAGGATAGGAAATCAGTGAATAGACTGCATGAATTCCTTGGCACAGCCAAGGGAACTAAGAACAGGGCTAACACACAGCTCACAAATGAGAGAAAATTTTTGCCATGTACCTCAGACAAGGGACTATTAGCAAAAATTCACAAAGAGCTGAAAAATAAAACACAAGACCCCCAAAGCATCAACTAACAAATTTAATGAGTTGAAATGACAACTTTTAAAAAATGTAAAGGATTAATTATTTTTAATTTTCTTTTTTTAATTGTTGAGGCTATAATATAATTATGCCACTTTCCCTGTTTCTCACTCCCTTCAAGCCCTCCCAAATACAATGGCCTTTTTAAACTTTCAAATCTATTGACTCATTTTGTTTGTTATTCTGTATTGGGTATGTGTGTGTTCTTCAATATGTAAGTACAACCTGTCACTATGTTTTATATAACTTGTATGAATATAATTTCAGACCTAACCATTTGGTATTGGATAACCAATGGAGTACTCTTCTCTGTGGAAGACTATTTCTCCTTCTCTAATCATTCCGTAGTTGCTTGTAGTTCTTTGTACAGGATTGAGCTTCCTTATTAGTGTCTCTACTAGTGTTATTTAAGTAAACATTTGGGGAGACTTAAAATTGACATTTCTTGTGGACACAATTTCACAGCAACTTTTAGAAGTAGTGTTACAGATGTATAAGATGCAAAACATTACAAAAACTTACAACTGACCAGTAAGTATTTTTTTAAAGCATGCTCAACATTCCCAGTAATCAAGAAACTGGGAATTATGAGTAGAAGGTGAGTTAATAAAATTTAAGGGTATATGAAGAAGTCTAATGGAATAATTCTTTATATGCCAATTACAAATTTTAATTTTTTTTGAGACAAAGTTTCTCTGTGTAGCTTTGGCTTCCTGGAACTCACACATATCCTATAACGCCTGCTTCTGGATTGCTTGGATCAAAGACATGCACCACTGTCACCTCAAAAATGCATTTTAAAAATGAAAATGATCCATTTATTTTTTATTTTTTCTGTGCTTTGTTATTTTGACTGCATGTGTGTCTGTGTGAGGGTGTTGGATCCCTGCAACTAAAGTTACAGATAGTTGTGGGCTGCCATGTGGGTGTTGTGAATTGAACCTGGGTCCTCTGGAAGAGCAGTCAATGCTCTTAGCTACTGAACCATCTCTGTTCAATCTCTGTGAGATAATGTATTCTCTGTTGTCTATTTTCTATGATAATTACAAGCTTCAATCTATTGCAGGCAGAATATAAGGAGTTAACTTCAAATTTCATACATTTTTGAGTTTTGCTTTGTGTCTCAATATGTGGAAGTTTTATGGAAACTTCCATTGCTCACTTCGTTATTTGTACCAGAGACAATTACAATGAGATTAGTGGGTTTATTTTCCTTGGGGGGTTACATATTGTCTTAGTTTTTCATACTGTTTATATATTTCTGCTGTGACCAGTACATGTAGCATTAGGTTAATGATTGTTTTTTAATACGAGTTTCTGCACAGACACATATCTCCCCTTCATGTTGAATGGGAGTTTGTATCCATGTTTGCTCTTACCCTTCCTTGGCTGGGTTAGAGTCAGTTAGGAGATACTTGCAGCTCAGTCCTGTGATCACTCAGTGTTGATTCACTAGTGTGATAACTGACATAATTACAGTTTATCTATGAAAAGTAGAGCCTCTGGCCTTAGCAGTCAGTGCTCTGTACAAGTTAATAGAGATGGGGTATACTGTATGTTGGTAGAATTTGACCTCTGACCTAAGGGGCATACAGGTGCTCAGTAGCTGGTCTTGAGAAAATGGTGAATTGGGCATTGAAGGCCTGCATTATTGTGGTGTCTGACATAAGGAGTGGGTAGGCACTCCAGGCAAGTGGTAAGGTAGCAATATTTTGGGTTATTGTGGTAGCTGAGATGTGATCTCTGATTGGCGGAGCTGATGGTGACTCTTTAAGGAAACTGATATTTATGAATCTGGATGCCAGTTGATGTGGATGTAACATCTGATCTTGGGGATTAGCAGGCCATTGGGGTGCCTCATAGTCCAATGAAGTTAGGGCGCCAGCAAATGGTTAGGTGAAGCTAGTGCCAATGGAACACCCATGTGTCCCACAGAGTCCTTAGTTGGTGGGATCAGAGAATCCAGGGACAAAAAGATAAGGGAATTGAGAGAGTGGGTGTGTAGCTCAACTCCTCAGGACAGGACAGGTAAAGAATCTCAGTGTAGAGGTAGCAGGCCTTCCAAGAGAGTTCTGTAATCTAATACCTCAATTGTGTTGATTTACATAGGAAATAGAAATTTTTCTTTTACTTAGAGCCATGCATAACATATTTATATCTACTATACCTAAACAACTGTATCCACTGCTCATGCTACTCAACTGTGGATTACAAATCACTCGTTCTATTGATACAATTCTCTCAGTGGCACCAATGACAGAATACAAGAATTGTAGCATTGCATGTTTTTACACCAGTGAAGACATAACATGGGGGGGTGTAGGAAAGAGGGAAAAATAGACAGAATTCCTTCTGTTCTATAAAGATTATCATGTGCATAAAATCAACTAATTTTCTAAAAAATAGATTATGAGTAAGTCCTGAGTAAGATATTCTTACAGATCCCTGCCACCTTCTTAAGCAATGCCCATGCAGTCAGCTCATGCATTTCCATATTTCTGACAATCAAGAATGTGATATGCACTGGGCATTGGTGGCACATGCCTTTAATCCCAGCACTTGGGAGGCAGAGGCAGGTGGATGTCTGTGAGTTTGTGGAGTCATGTTTATGGATTAACAGGGGATTATAACATTCTTGAGACAGTTGAGATTCAGATGAAAAATTATTTCTCACTAAAAGAAAAAGTAACAGCAATACATAAAAGGTAAAAATAGAAAATCAATCTATTAGAAATCGAATCATCTCAAATGTCATTTAACTGGCAAGTAGCCATTAGGTATAATAGATATAAATATGTTATGTATGGCTCTAAGTAAAAGAAACTATGGCTTACATACAGTAAATTTCTGGAAGATCATTCTGAGTTTTTTATTTGTTAATATAACATGTTTAATGCATTTCTATTAAAATTACTGGACACAGATTATTCTTTATCACAATTAAGGGAAATATAATTACAAATGTCAATTACATAAGGAACTCTCTGGAGCAAATTCATATGCAAGACTTTGAGCATGATAATCCACCTCTGAGAGGAAAATCATAAAATTTAAACAAGATACTAACATGATCACTTTGAAGGAATTGTCAGAAAATGCACACAGTTTCAGTATGAAACTACTCAGCAAATATATCTTACTATTGATGCTCAAAAAAGAAACGAACTTTCTTTTCAATTATAACTCAGTGATAAAAAGGTTTGATGAGTATTATCTCAATAATAAACAGAAAATGGGGATATATATGTCCATGTGCGTACTCATGAACACATATAAGTATACATAAACAGTGAAAACACCCCATTTACCATTGGCCAGTTGACTATTTTTAATTAGATGTATATTTCTTGAGAATATCATGCATGATGGTTGAATCTACATCATTCTTGACCCCTTGTGATGAGCAAAGGGGTCAAGACCAAGCTGGAGAAACCCACAGAAACAGCTGACCTGAACAAGGGGGAGCTCATGGACCCCAGACTGACAGCTGGGAAACCAGCAAAAGAAAAATCCAGGACCCCTGAAAGTGGGTGTCAGTTAGGAGGCCTGGGCAGTCTATGGAACCTCTGGTAGTGGATCAGTATTTATCCCTAGTGAAAGGACTTTGGGAGCTCATTCCCCAAGGAGGGATACTCTCTCAGCCTAGACACTTGGGAGAGGGGGTAGGCCCTGTTCCAAATGATGCAACAGACTTTGATGATCCTCCATGGATCTAATTTGTGAGCACAAATGGGATGGGATAGGATAGGGTGGGGGAAGGGGAGAAGGGAAAGAAGAGGGAACTGGGATTGACATGTAAAACAAGATTGTTTCTAGTGTAAAAAAATAAAAAATATAGCAACTAAGAATTATTTAGAAAACTTATGCAATGTCAACTAAAACTAAAACACTATTTCTGCTTCAAAACTAAACTTTCAAGGCCTAAGCAAAGAACAACTGAGAAAAGCAGGGTCTGGAGAGGTGAACTTGCTCAGGGAAGAGCCAACTGTCTGTGCAGAGCCAATGGTCAGCCCAGGAAACATAGTACAAGTAACATAGTATGAACTGAGCTTATGAGCACACACACACACACACACACACACACACACACACACACACACACACACACACACAAATGCAATAACAATTAATGGAAGAAGATGCCATGAATTTGAAGGAAAGCAGGGGGGATTATATGGGAAGGTTTGGAAGGAGGAAAGGGTAAGGTGAAATGTCATAATTAGATTAGAATCTCAAAAAAATAGAAAATAAAGATTTTGAAATTTTGGTTAAGAAACTAAACACAATTTTTAAGTTCATTATAGTTCTCCAATGGCTATTATACTTAGTTGTAGGGAGAAATCCTGATTATAGGTACTGCTGACCATGCCTGCTTGGGCCTGGTCACAGGTACTGCTGACCGTGCCCATTTGGGAGCAGTCAGCAGTACCTCTAATTAGTATTTCTCCCTACACTTAGTTACTTGGAATACCTCAAATTCATTTTGTCTCAAGCCCCAGAATTTAGATGGGTGTGATGTTTGTGGTGTGTGTGTGTGTGTGTGTGTGTGTGTGTGTGTGTGTGTTAGAAAGAGAGAGAAAAATTGCAGCTAGATAGACTTAGAAGTCTCAGTCATGTGTAAGCAAATCCAAAAGTTTCATTGCTTAGTTTTTATAGCTCTAAAGTGGAAACTAAATCTGCCTCAAATTTTCTGTTTAAATTAAAAATGGGATATTTCTGTAATAGGTTCAAACCGCCAATGTGATCTAAATAAATGCTTAACATTTTTAGCAGCATGTTTGTCATTTAAATGTTCCACAAAAGGTGAGCTTTTCATCAAAATGTGATGACACACATGCAAACAAAACTCCAGTCCTGTCCTACATCGCAGCCTGCTGTGTAACTACTAACAGCAAAAACCGACAGTATAGAGACATTTTAAGGAGCATACCGTAGCCCACAGTAGAAAGGCCCAGGTGTTTCATTCTATTTTTCACAAGTTCAGCAAGCTCCTGTCTTTCAGACCTCCTGTAGAGGTTCAGTCGCTGCTGGGTTATTTTTTCTGCAGTTTTCCCAGAGTGCTTTGGGCCTTTTCTGCTCAGCCTTCGGGCCCACTGCATGCTCTTTCTCCGCAGCAAGGGGTGGTCTGACTGGTCGCTGGAGGTGGAGTTGCGGTGAATGCTGCGGTGGTGCCCTGGCTCTTTGGCATCTTTGGTGTCTTCCCACTCTTCTACACTGATGGATATTTGAGACTTTAAAGGAAATGGATATTGGTCATTAGATATTGAGGAAAAGCCATTGCCTAGAATTGAAATAACTCCTTTGCACGATCTTGGTGTAATTGTATATCTACATGTGAGAGTTTCCACGGGAAGAAGAAAATCAAGACATTGCATTCTGAGCAAGTTTTACTAGTCAATTTGCAGAAACGTTTCTGGAGCTTATTGTGAATCCGTTAAAACATCTGGATCTACCTAGTATTAGTCTTTTAAGAAAAGACAATGTCATTTGTGGTTATGTGTGACTTTTTCCCCTCTGTAACTGATTCCCAGCATACATACATTTGAAACAAACACACATATATTTTATAACTTCATTTAAGTACAGTCTGGGCAATAGACAGGTTACATCTTTCCATACAAGGTGGTCACATGAAATGTAAGCCTAGCTAAGGAGACTTTTACTGTATGGGGACATGCACACACTAGTTAATAGCTTCCTTAACTCTACGGGACTGCTGAACCCACGAATCTGCCATGGAGTTTTCCTCCAGGTCTGAAACCTTGTTTGCTTGCACTTTAGCTTCCAGAAGCACACACAGCTGTCTTCCAAAGTTATAGCAATCAAGTTACCAATTTAAGTCAGGATGTAGACCCAATACATCTTCTAAATAAAATATAAATATAAGTAATGAGACTCAGTGCGTGCCTTACCCACAACTGTAGCAATGTGCTAGGAAATGATCAGAGACCTCAGTTCAGCCAAAATACCAATAATTCATTCAGATTTCTATTGTAAAACAGCATATTATTAGGTTAACGTAAAATAGTTCATTTAAACTTCATATCTCCTGGTGAAAAGTTCATCAAAGAAATGTAGAAGCTGGATTTTATCTTACAGAACTTAAGCTGGAATCATTAAAGATTTTAAGTCATGGATACCTTTATAAATCTTAGCTCATTTTTTTTCCCACTGACTTAATATTACCACTAAAATCCCCTTCTGTGGAAGTAGATTACAAACTATTGGGAAATATCTATCATTAGTAAGGACTATCTACAGTTATTCAGTAATATTTGTAGTATGTCTTACATGAGCAATTGCTTGAAATTCTTCTGTGTAAAGCTTTCAGAGAAAACAGTCAAGGTGCTGGGCTCATATAAGATCACTTACAGTTTAGGTCTGGAAACCACACACTGATAAGTATTTAAGGGACAGGGGAGGATTTGATGCTATTTCAAGCAGATCTAAAATACTATTTGTCTTTGTGAATGTTTCTTCTTAGTCCCACGTCTCAGGTACTATGAAATACATGCATCTAAAGTATTGATTAAAGTGTATGTATATGTTACTGAAGCATTATTAAAATGGTCACATTTAGTGTTGTTCTGAAATCCCATATGAAGGGGATTTCATGATTTCTCATATACAATCATTTACATTGCAAGGCATTTTTCTTGTAAATCTATCCACGAGCAAACATCCCTTTATAAACATTACATTATCTAGAAGAAGGAATTAGAATTATTGGGGGATTTTTTTTTTCAGAAAACGAGGTTGAAACTTTGAGATTTCTTTGTACAAATTTGGATTTTTAAAATCTTTCTTTCTCCTTTGAGTATCATGTATGAAAAGCCTAGTTATGTTTTTATAGTGGGAGATAAACAAATTAGAGAGATGCTTCAGGATTTTTCTAGCTCAATATGAAAACCAACTACTTTAAAGAAAATGCTAATGTTAATATTCATCCTCTGCCCCTCAGAAACCTTTTAAAAATTCATCTAACACATTACCATTCAGAGAAAACATTATCACCTCTAACTTTGAACTAAAGCAATGACAATAATAGTGCATAAGAAATAAAATTTACCCACAGTGTGAATAGCATTGCTGATAGGCACCTGTTATTAAAGTACATGTCTACTGTGTGTATGTGTGAAAAGATATCTGTTTGTGAGTTAATTTCCTACTGTCTCTTCATTTGATGTTTATCACTTTATTCTGCTTTGGGTCAGCATCACCAGGCAAGATACAATTCAGCACAGGAAATGAAATGGTGGCTTCACTTTAGGGGCTTTTCCTGAACTGCTGGTTAGAGGGTTAGAATAATAGAAGGTTAAAAGCAAGGGTTCTGGGGTCACACTGGACTTGGTTTAAATTCCCAAAGACTAAACAAAGACAAGTGGATTCCAGGAGCTCCTTGGCAAGACAATCTAACTTAAATATTGAGTTTAAGGTTCAATGAAAGACTTTGTCACAAAAAGAAATGTAAGGAGAAGATGCAATTGAGGAAGACATGAAGACACAACCTCTGACATTTATATGAGTGTGTCTACACAAATACACACACACACACACACACACACACACACACACACACACACACACACACACACACACACACGGGAGTTGGATAGGATTGTGATGGTAGAGCATAAGATCCAATTTGGCTTTACCATCTCATGAGGTTTAGTAATTTAGAAAATTTTAGGGACTTAAATTTGGGGCTCAAGTTAGAGTTTTAATTGGAGACTCTCGAGTTGGCCAACAAGGCTTTACTTTAAAATGAATATAGCAAATACAGAAGAAAGCCAAACATGAGCTCTTGGAATCAGCTTCCTAAAGGGGAGGATGTTTCCATCCTCACTGCCTTGCTAAATGTGAAGGATATGTAGCATCTCACTCATCCTACATCCCTTGGCTATCAAAGCCTTTTGGGAGCAAACAAATAAACCATATGAATAACAGTGCCATCATTAAATGACATTAAACATGTATAACTGTTTCTTTCCATTCTTTACCAGTATGCTGCAGTAACAGACTACACTAAAAAAAAAAATCAAAATTTGGCAAAATTCAGAGGATCATCTTAACACCAGATGTCTTGGGTACTAAGGCTCATTTACACATTTTAGAGACTTGTATGCTGCTGTCTGTGGCCAGCAAACAATTTCCTTTTCATATGGTAAAACAACTATGGTAAAATATGGCAAATTTTTTACCATATTTCATATGGTAAATATTTTACCACATTTTATATGGTAAAATAACTGCTACTTTCTTGCTTCCTTGACACTGAAAATAAAAATTAAGGTCACATACTAGTCTTCCTATATTAAAGGAACAATACAAGACTCACGGCTGCACCAGTCCTCATCAAAGTTCAGATACTGTTAAAAGTAACCAAGTCACAGTTCAGATTTCCAAAATACTCAACAATTGGATATGAGGCAAAGCATTCAAAAGAATTACCATCTTTGTACTAACTACAGGATACAAACCATAATGCTATATTTTGTAAAGTTAAATTCTGAATGAAGCAAGGCACATTTATTCACCAAAGATATAGGTTGAATAATAACAATTTGTCTCCACATTTGATGTCTGATTGCTGACACCTCTATCTCACTCCAAGGCAAGGATATGACGGGCCAAAGTGTCTTCTTTTAAAACTAGTGTGACATTCATGCTCATGGTATAAGAAACCTTACTCCAGGACTAGCCACTAACCACAATAAGGCCCAGGTCATTTGAGCTTTCTAAGCTCTTTCAAACCACTTTTGGGCATGTTTGGATTCCTACCTGCTCTATCCCCTCTCCTCAAAGTGTCATTCAACATTCCTAGCCCATGAGCAGTGTCCTCAGTCTGAACATCACAACAAAACTTGGGCGGGGGCATCTATGCCACCTTTGAGTTGGATCACTTTTCTCTCCCTTGCATTGTTCCCTGTTCAAACATTATCTTCAACTATTAGAAAAAAAATAAACCATGCTGCTGTACTCCTCCCATTCTCTTAGAAGCTTGCAAACTATGAATAAGCAAACATTTATATAGGCAGTATGGATAAGCTCCTAGCTAAGTACCTAAGGCAATGATACAGGCAACACAAACAAAACTGTGAGTGGGTGAGCTTGTGGAGAAACAGGTGGTGCAGATAAAATCATTCCATGTTCCAAAGGAAACTTAGGACTGGATTCAGGAAGAATATTGGGATTGCGTTTGCAACACACATTCATATTGATTTGTATAAGACAAAGATTATTTGCAACTAAGCACCTATTTATCAGGATTTTTACATACATTTTCATCATGTTTTATTTCTCCCCAAACTTCTCCTATATCTTCCCCATATCCCTACATAGCTAGTTTTATGTTCTGTATCTCTCTGTCTTTCTTTTTAAAAGTAAAAATAAAAACCACTATAGCATGAGGAGCAGTAAGTAGGAAGAAATGAAGCAAGAAATTAGGAATATGGGAATAAAAATAACAGCTTTTCATGAAAACCAAGGAAGAGATGCTTCTCATGTAAAAGAATGGATGTAAATGAATGGATGGTAGATGTTTTCAAAACATCTCATAAGTTTCTTTTTCCAATGTTTATAATCATGTTATCAATGAAGTTGACTCTTATGAGGGTGCTGAGGCAAAGTGAATTAGAGAAAGGTCACCAGTTTAAGGTGGTAGCATTGCTTGTGGGCAGACTTTTCAAGAAAGGGTGTTTAGCCTCCACTCACACAGTGAATCACTGGTGACCCCAAGAATTAAGTTTTTCAAATAATAACTTTTATTACACGGGAACTAAGATTGGAAAGTGTTTGTAGAAGGTACAAACATCTACCTGCCAAATGAATAAATTCTGGATATGTTATATAAGGCATGGTGAATGCAGTTAATATTAATATATGATGTACTTGAAATGCCCTGAAAGAGATTTAGGAGGAACTTTCTTTGTTCAGTATTATACATCTCATCAAGCAAAGCAGATCCTGAAATCTATCTGTCTAGACTCTGGCTTTTAGGTCTCCAACTACAGATACCCTTGAAGACAAGTGTTCTATAGACACTAGTTGAAGAGCTGCTTAATCTTTAGTCTTTAGAAAATAAAACTACTTTTAAGGATGCTCAAAACTAACATCTTTCTTTGTTATATACAAAATTATAAAATATTAATATAATTTAGAATTTAATTCTTCTAATGCCAAACTTCGGAAAGAGTAATTAGCTGATTAATATGCTTTTTTTTTCATTCCTGGTGTCTTTCCAAAGCTTCAGCTTGTATCTTAAGTTCAGCCTTTCAGCCCTAAATTTTTGAATAGATGCCTGCCAGTTACACATCACAGTCCTGTCAGTACAAAGTGTGAATTTAAGAAACTACAGAAAAAAGAGGTTTGTGACTGCTGGTAGCTATGATCATTAGTTTCTCAGTGTTTGCTATAGCATCATGCAACTGATATACTGAAATCATAAAAAGGGTCCAAAGTGAATTAATAAATGCAGTCCAAGGACAAATGTAACATTATTTTGCAATCTTTTGTGGGAAAATAAAAATATACTAACTTGAAAAGTATGTACGAGCTTTTCAGTAAGATACACTTTTGAAATGCAATTCTGAAGTTAGTTTTTCATAGTCAATTTCTTTACTACATCTATTACACACTGAGGAACGTGACAAACAGAAGATACTTACTTGTGATGCTATTTCTCGAGACTGACACAAAGGAGGGAAAAAGAAATACACAATGCAGTTTAGACAATGACTGAACAGTACATACGTGGAACATCAACAAGGACAAAATACAACACACATCCATGTTACACTTATAGTGCAATAATGTGCTTAGTTTTTTGTAAGGCATTTGATCAAAGTCAGGTAAGCTATGATTTTTTTAATGCCTACCAAAGATTCTTTATCCCCAGATTGTTTTTGTGACTAAGTCTAATAGATACTAAAATAAATGGCAGGAAGATAAGTGAACCACTCCATGAAAACGAGAATATTTTAAATAACCATTTACATTAAACATTTATATAAAAGAACAATCTGAACTAACATTCAGGAACATTATAATTAACTACAATCTGTGTAGATACACAAGACAGGGAGTAGTATTTATTCTATTAATATATTTTTATTGTTGATAAAGATGTTATTTTACGAAAGCTACAGTTTGTCTTACTTGATAATTGCTTGTATATGCATTTATAAATAACTTATCCTAGGGAAGTCTCCTGAAGATTCTCTGTTCTCGTAAAGGTTAAGACTGCATCAAATTCTATAGAAATCTACTTGTAATTACCATGACCAATTAAGAAATATTTGTATTACACTGAAAATTCATGTTCCACTTTTAAAGAATAAGTGAAATTGTAAGCCACAGGGCAACAGATGGTATTTGGGGCCAGGACTGCTGGATAGTGATTAGATCATGAAAAGTCTAGTGATCACAGAATGCCTTGCTCCTTTTGTGTTGAGAAGATAAATTTGCCAAGAATACCAAAGCAGACTCTCCCCAGACAATAAACCCACCAGTATAGATTCCCAGTACTTACAAATGTCAGAATCAATATTTCGTTTTTAAAAAAAGATGTTTTATTATGTTCATTATGTACATGGATATGTGTCTATGTGCAAGTATATACACAGGACTTCGTGACCCTCTTCTGGAAGAGCAGCATGTACTCTACTATGGAGCAATCTTTCGAGCCACTAAAGTTCCCATTTTTATAAGCTATTGAATGTATGGTATGCTACTATGGAAACCCTAGCAAACTAAGGAAATGTTAAATTACATATAAAAAGAGTTTGTTTTGTTTATTTACTGGGTAATCAAATAATACTGGTATCTATTCTAAAATCTGTAGCCGAATTTGCCAGTCTACTACATGTATTTAACTGTCTTGAATGCCTCTCCAGTTAGCAATTGTATGGAATATTTTTCTTTTAAAGTGCTCTTTCTAAAGTGAACCTATGAGTTTCTGTTCAAAGAAAAACTTAATTCAACTGTAGAGACGGTAACAGAGATGTATTTAATGTCTCAGAAACAACAATAACTTCACCAACAACATCTCATGAAACTTGGATAACATTATGATGGCCACAGTACACATCTATGTAAATTTATAATCATAACTAGATAAGAAAAGAAAACTCTATCCCATTAAATATATGCTGACTATACAACTCTTCTGTAAGGTGTATGAATTCTTTATTTAATCATACATCTTTTCAGTGATTACTTGGCCTGCTAAAATGAAAAACATTGATCAGAGATCTATGCATTGGGTGATTTCATATAAGAGGAAAAGATTCAGCTAGTCAAAATGTCTTTGTGATTTATCATACCTCTGGAGTTTGAAAATAAATGATTGAAGGATATAAATCAAATTTTATATTAAGAAATATTATATATGTAGAATAATATATTTATCAAAAATTTATGTCATAACATAATCTAATTTAAAGAGTTGGATTTTCCTAAGATTATAAAGATTACCTAGAATTACAAATGTGATAAAATCAAAATTCAGAAGATATAATCTCAGTTGCAGGTGGCCATCAAAATCTTTCTTTCCAAATTAACAGGCTATAGTTCCTAGTAAACATTACTTTCCTTTCTTAGAAAGTCGGGCTCTGTTCCTAGACATTTTTTTATGGATTTACATTAATTTTCAGTATAAAGAGAGAGAAACATGCATTTTGATGCTTTATGAATTTTTTGTTTGCTTCCTTGCAAATGCTAATATATGTAATCAAAAAATACATTGGAAACATAGGGGATTTGGAGGCTTTTTTCTATCTCAGAACCCTAGGGTGATGTAATCATTCTAATTCTTTAAAATATTCTCAGTGGCTAATCTTGGATCTAGAAAAGGAACTCAACATCCACAGATGCCGGAAAAGCCCCTACCCGACAATACCTGGTGAAATAGTTGAGATTTCAGCTACTGAAAATTTATAGAACTCCTTTTCACTTTCTATTGCATTTGTGTGAAATCGGTTTTCATGATTATGCATGACAATATTCATCAAAGCAAACAAGACTGCAAAGAGGCTTTCATAGTTTCAAACCTCGGATGTCGTTAGTTTCTGAGATTCTGTCCTGTAGATCCCAATAGGAACATCTCCAGTAGAAGAACACAACTTCTGGTAGAGTCTGGCATATGTCCTGATCCACAAGTCCTCTTCAGTGATTTTCATCTATAATGCATATGAATGAATCACACAATCAATGTTTAAGAATGAAAAACAGAGTGGTTATTTTCTGTTATTAAAAGCTGAATCAATACATATTTTGAAATCTCCAAGTAGTATTTCATAAAAGCTTGTTCACATATTAGTTTTATTCATTTTACTCCACCTCAGCCTATCCTGGAGTTCATTGAAAGCCAAGAAATGTTAAGTAGTCTGTCTGGGGCAATATGGCATTATATTGGTGCAATAAAAGTAGGCAACACAACACTGGCAATGACCTGGAAGATGGTTTGGAAACCTTAAAGATGATGTAATGACAAATTTGACACAGATACTTAGTAAACAGAGTTTTCTAAGGTAAAAATGTAAGGTGCAGAACTCTAGTAATGAAAGTCCTACTCTACATGTGGTAGAAGGAGCACAGGGCTACAGACAGGAAACCAGGGCTCTCACCCCCCAGTTGCTTGGACATTGAACCATCAGCAATCTATTGTATTCTACTCATTACACTCTTCTATAAAATAGAAGGTTTGAAGCAGGTTCAACGACACAAGCCTTTTCTCCCTGATATTGCAAAGGGTTGGAGTGGAGGATACTTGATTCCAGGAATATGAGGACAGTCCGAAGAAAACAACAAGATGCCATCTCAGAAAGAGAGAGGGGGAGGGAGAGAGGGAGGGAGAGAGAGAGAGAGAGAGAGAGAGAGAGAGAGAGAGAGAGAGAGAGAGAGAGAGAGAGAGAACCAATGTGGCTGAATGTTAGAATCATTCAGCTCATGGACAGTGTAGTAACCAAGTCTTTGACAGGGGATCATCAAACTGTCAAATTGTCAGCATCAACAATGAGAATTTTTACTAGGTTTTATATAGAATGTTGTTTTCTTCTTTTTGCAATGATATTAATTAAAATGCTTTATCCACAAAAACAGCATATAATACATTTAAGGTCTCAGGATTTTTAATGAATTAGAAAACCTCAAATATAACACTTTCCACACACATGAGGAAATAAATGTGATTATAGACAAGTCACCAAAAGCACATGGCAGGTGGATCTCCAAACCTTCTATGAGAATTCTCTTCTCTTCCAGACATGATTAACTTACAGAACAAAGAAACCCCGATCCTGGTATGGTGTCCAGTCCCAATAGAAGTCTGGTGATAGAAATCATATAATCTTTCACAAATGACTGCAATATAAGCAAAATATGTAAACATTATGTATGTGAGGCACATAGAATAGTGAGGAGGGTGAACACATGAATATTTCTGAGAAGTTATTTCTATTACTTCTGCAATCTGGATAAAATGAGATAAAATACATCTCAACTTTTTAAATAGTCATTTATAGTTAAGCTGATTCTAAAGAAATGTATGAAATACTTGTTATTTAGAGATAATATGTATGCTGACATTGGGTTAGACATGATATGATTGAAAAACAAAACAAAACTCTCTAAACTGAAATATAATGGTGAAATTAGTAAATATTAAAGTAAACATTTTAAAATGTTTCAACCAGTCTTTTCTGTAAGATTAATCTTCCCAATGGTAAGACAACATTGATTTCTAGACTTCCCTTTACTATTTCTTATTACGTATATTCTTTCCCAAATGATACCATGTTAAATAGGATCTCTTTAAAAGGACAATCATTATATTTTCCTAAAATAACAGTGTTTATTACTTAGTTATAGGAAAATAAACTATACTATTACCAAGTGTGTACAGATAGCATCATCTGAAGCCATCCCTGATGAGGAGTAGGGATGCAGCTTGTCAAACATGCACAAGGCTTGGGGTCCAATTCCAGCATCAACAGAAGAAGAAAATCATTCCCAACAGTTCAGAAGTTATTATAACGAACCAAAGGTCCAGGAGAATAGAAATAATTTTCTATAATAGGCTATCTCTGAAGTCCTCTAGCTAAGTGTTTTACAAAACAAATAGTAAAATAAAATTATAAATTGTTGCTAGAATAATTTTAAGTGACATGGAATAAGCTTACTAAAATACAAATGAATCTAACCCAGAAAATAAGTTTTGCTATATTGTGGGGTGTTTCTCTCAATTATATACATACACATGCAGACAGATGCAGTACATATTGGATTTAAACATGAACTATAATGGTGATTCTGATATAATTCTAAACTTAAAATACTTTATTTTATTTTATCTATCTATCTATCTATCTATCTATCTATCTATCTATCTATCTATCTATCTATCCATCCGTGAGTATATGTATATGGGTGCATGTGGATTCTTTTCCTCTAAATGTAGGTATCTGAGATCCAACTCAGGTCTTCAGGTTTAGTTACAAGCACCTTATTAACTCTACTATAATGTCAGCCCTAATTCAAAACTTTCAAATTCTATTTGAACCTTTGGCAGAAGTTTCAACAAACAACTAACTTCCTTGTCTCTTGATAACACAAAACAAAAACCAAACCAAAGAGGGCTTAAAAACTGGTCTCCTCTTCCGAGGTTGTAACCTTCTATCAAAGGGACACAAGAGTGTCTGAAACTCTAGTTTCAGAATAGTAGCTGAGCACTTCTCCGTGATTGATACAAACTTTCAGCATGAAGATTGATTGGTATGTCTCAGCTGAAGCTGAGAGTTTACATCAATCAACCTGCAGCTCTTCAAACACACTTTAAAAAAAGAGAGAAAGAAAGGGAAAAAAAAAAAAAAACCTAGGTTGTAATTTTCACTTCAAGAGATAAGCACATACATATTTGGTGTGCTTGAGGTACTGGTTGTGCCTCCTGCATTAGCCAGATAAATTATCTGGAAACATTCATATAGATCATTAATACTGTTTCATTGTTTGCTGGGGCACCTCTCCAGACTAGCAGGCTGCTCCCCCACCTGTAAGCACACACAGGGGCAGGTAGCCCAGAGGTCAGCACAACATCTCCAGTTATCTATCATTGGAGTAGGTTAGTCAGGCAGGCAGTTGTAGCAACATCTCCAGTTATCTATCATTGGAGTAGGTTAGTCAGGCAGGCAGTTGTAGCAACATCTCCAGTTATCTATCATTGGAGTAGGTTAGTCAGGCAGGCAGTTGTAGAGTAGTGCAGCAAATATATAATCAAAAGCAATGTGGACAAAATGCCATGAAGGTGCTTAGTTTCAAACTAATGGTATGAAATAAAAACTCTGAATATATTTTTTGCTAAGTGGAAATGCTTAGTGATTATATGAATAATGAGAGAACAGGAAACCTTACTACTATTATCTGTGGGCAGAAATAAACAAAAGCAGACTATGATATGTTTGTGTGAAATATATGGATTTTTGGAGAGCTTTGGATTACAATACAGTGCATAAATAGCAGGGTTACTTTGGTACTCAGGGACTAACTCAATGGCTCTGGGGTTGTAAAATGTTTCTTCCGTTTAAATAAAGTGAGCAAAAAATGATGAGATGCTTAAATGTCTTCAGTGTAGAATACTAGCAGCTTGCTGTTTTGTTTAAAATCTGAAAAAATACTATAAGCAAAGTTACTTTTGGCTTTTTGTTACTTTTTTTTAAATAAAGTGTTTCAGAGGCATGTTTGTGATAATAAAAAGTACATTAATAAATTTCACAATAAACTGATATCCAGGAACACCAAGAAATAATTTTCAAATACCATTTTATTTTGTTATTATTGTATTGTTATTATTAGAGGAAGGAACACGAGAGGGAGAAAGATAGAGCCTCAGTCAGACAGAACCAGAAAGACAGAGACAGAATTAGATAGAGAATCCACAAATGCACAGTGTCCTGTGGAAAACAGGACAACTTTTGGGAGTTAGCCTTTTGAATTCTCAGTTCTTGGGAAGAAACTCAGGTCTTCAGGTGCGTGCGTGCGTGTGTGTGTGTGTGTGTGTGTGTGTGTGTGTGTGTGTGTGTGTGTGCATTTTTACTTAATCTTTTTAAAATTACTTCTTTTATTTTTGAAATTATAAAATAATTACATTATTTACTCCACTTTCCTCCCATTAAACCTTCTGATACATCCCTCCTTACTTTCTTTCAAATTTATGGTTGTTATATGCATTATATGTATGTGTGTATAAATATATATTCCTAAATACAAACTGATCAGTCTGTATAATATTACTTATAAGTATGTTTTTAGGTCTGAGCACTTGACATCAGATAATATTTTCAAAATATATAATATACTATATATTTTGTTTTTTCGAGATACGGTTTCTCTATGTAGCCCTAGCTGTACTGGAACTAGCTCTTGTATGCAGGCTGGCCTAGAACTCACAGAGATCTGCCTGGCTCTGCCTCCAGAGTGCTGGGATTAAAGCCATGCACCACCACTGCATTGCTTAAAAAATTTTTTGAAAAAAATGTTTCATATCAGCATTTATGTGATTAAATAACAGGGAAGCATACTAAGCTATTTCAACTCAACCTTAAAAGTATAAAATATCACTATCACTTATTTTTCCTTAAAATCTAAGTGATATATAAAATAACCATTTTGAAGTAAGAAGAGACTCCACGTACCTGATACAGAAGTGTGTCCAACATGCTGATGCTGAACACTCGGCCTGCAGCGAAAGGCAGTCGAAACATAAAGGCCAGGTTAGAACCTCGTTCTCGCTCTTTCTGTTCAGAAGCAGAGGGAGAAGCTGTGAGCATCTATATTTTGCCCACTACTGAGTAACCAAATTTTCTCAGCAAAAAAAAAAAAATATTCTTATTCAATTGTTAATGGTTAATATGCACACCTTCTTTTGTTTGATTATTTTGTCATTTTGAGACAGGGTTTCTCCATAGCTTTGGAGGCTGTTTGCTGAAATAGTAGTAGACCAGGATGGCCTTGAACTCACAGAGATACGCCTGCCTTCCTCCTTCATGCTGGGATTAAGGGTGTGCACCACCACTTCCTGGTGCCTTACCTTCTTTTAAAATTGATTTTTCTGTGTGTCTTTGTCCATCTATGTACATATGTGTGCTTAAAAATGAAATTTTAAATACCCCTTTAATTTTCCTGATAAACTATAGCCGAATAACATAAACCCAGAGACAGATATTGGGGTTCAAGCTGAAGATCAGAAAAGCAAAGCAGCCAGCCACCAGAGAGTTCTCACCTCTACCAAGGCTGAGGTGATCCTGTCTTCAATGAGGCTGGAGACCAATTGCCTACTCTGAGACCCTTCTCCTGTCTTATATTCCTCTCTAGTGTTGGGATTAAAGGTGCGCACCACCACCTCCCAGGCTCTACGGCCAATTAGTGTGGCTGCTGGGATTTAAGGTGTGTGCCACCACTGCCTGGCCTTTATGGCTGGGGCTAGCTTTGCATTCTGATCTTCAGGCAAGCTTTAAAAAAATATATCACTAAAAACACTGGACCTATTGAAACATCACATAATTCAGAATGTTAACCTTTTCATGTGTAAGCACTCATTCCAGCTACAGTAAATGAGATAATTAATAAACAAAATAGTTGAATCAAATATAAGCAGTGACTGAAGTTACGCAATTTATCATGATACTTAGGTTTGCCTAAATCCTAACTGTCAAGTTTGTGGCATTACAGGGTCAAAATCTGAGAAACAAATTTCATCATATCACAAGAAGAGTTCTCACAAAAGGATCAGTGGCCTACAAATCAAAGTTCTTCTACTGTGCCAGCTTTGAGCAGACATGTGTGCCTTCACCATTCCCCTCAACAGTAGTAAGCATTGCAAACAGGTACTTTCTCATACTCCTCAAATGAGAGAGAGATGTCTAAGCTCTCCAGTCCATGGAACATTGGAGTAGCACCTCAAAGTGAAAAGGCATATCACAACTCAACATTTTAGTCTTACTTCTCCATCTGATCCTCATGATCTCTCTCATACACATACTTACAGGGAAGCTCCTTTCTATTTCCAAGGGAAAGTTTATGTACACCCAAGTATGCATGTACATTATGGTGCACATGAAAGCTGAGGCAGGGGAGTATAAACTTGAGACTATCCTGTTTTACAGAAGACCCTGCCTCGAAAAAAAACAAACCAGTATTATCTTCAGCCAAGGACAGACATGGAGAGCAAATGTTACATGTATTAACAACTGAACTAGGCACCATGAGACAGCAAGCTAACCTGTGATTACCATTCATTAACTTCAAAAACACTTTTCTTTGCTGCAAGCTTTCCTAGGGCAGACTGACACAGCTATGTGAGAAAGGAAACCACTTCTTGAAGAAACCAATGACCCCATTTTTAGCATAGCAAATTTCTGGGATCTCAAAGAGAAAGAACCCCTCATATTCTCTTTTTTAAAAATGAGTTGGGGGCTATTCTGAATGGCTATGATCACAGAGCAAATACAAAAATGTCCATAAAGGATCATGTATCTGGGGGATGTAAACTGCTGTGACCACTGTGGCAATGATTTTCAACAGAAATATGTTGAGATGCCCATCAACGGTTATGTGGATAAAGAACATAGTTACAGACCAGATTTCCTTCTGCTTCTTCACTGTATCAGTGAACAATTGACTCATGAACACCCTGCCAAAGAACAGCAACCTAACTAGTAAATCCTGGTCAAGATGACCAATTTATTAATGAAGCAATCTGCTGACTTCCTCTACAAAGCTTGTATATCTATCAAATTCCCAAAATCTATCACTAGTTCTTTTATTTCTCCAGCTAAATTCTACTGCTTTAGCACTAGATAGATCTTGAATCTGACATTTTCCAAATCTTTGTTACCACAACACAGCACCCACATGCTGCTAATTAATCCCTCCTTCCTGGAAGCTCAGAGTCTGTTTATATATCGAGTCCATTTACCCTATAATTAGACTTTTCTAGACTTGCCTGGGGAGTACAGAAACAGAAATTCTGTGAAAAAGAAAGAAGTTCCTTATTCGGAGAATCAGAAATATTTTGATCTTTAGAATGTTTCGTCTTGAAACTCCCACCAGCTTAGTGGGTCAATGAGGATACTGTGGATACTGTCAGGTATACCATGATATCTTCACACAGGTTAGTCCCGCTGAACCATTTTCTGACAGGCATACTTTTCTAAGCCCAAGGAACCTTACATAACTTTATTTAGAAAAATACGTGATACTGACTTTCACGAGGCTCTCTGGTTCAAACACATTATTTAAGATACTTTTCCAAATTTTTAGATTGGTGGAGATTTTCATCTGTTAAAAATGATGAATAGATAGTGCACTTTGGCATGGCTTAGTGATTGACAGAAACATATACCAGGGTTCAGGTAAAGTGATGCTCCTTAGTTATTATATGACCTTGAAGATAGTACTTATTGTCCCTGCTTGTGTTTCCTTACAGGTGAAATGAGATTGTGTTAGCATTCTTATCTCATTGTGATTGTACTAAAGAAAAAATCTAAGGATATTTTATATACAGAAATCACTTAGAAAACATTATATTCTACCATCATTAGTTCTTCTAATATGTGAAATAGTGCTTAGCCTTAAACACTTCATATCTTTCATCTGTAATATTGCTTCCTGTGACTTTACCGCCCTGGTTTGGTTGTTACTGTAACACAACTATTACTTTCCCACCTAGGGCTTTCTGTCACCTCTATGCAGGCCATCCCTAGTTACTCTTGAAAGTAACCTTCAACTCCTTGCATTGCACAACTGAAATCTGTAATTCCTTACTTCTGCTTTTGAAAGTTACTTTACTTATGTCTCCATGAGACTCTGTGTCCCATGACAGTACACACCATGCATTTGCTTCCTGCTACTGCCAATCATGTCAGAAACAGCATGTGGCCTACAGATGGGCAATGGAATTATTTGAGCAAATGAATTGTTCTGTTTAGTAGCTGCCTACATCAAAATTTTACTGAAGATATTAACACTTTTAACCTCATAATCTATAAGCAAGAAACTATGTTATGCCCAAGTCTCGAAGACCCCAAGAGACTACCAAGGAGACAGAGTGGGAGAGGGCATTGAGAGGAACATGTAAGGGGGTCCTAAAGGGGTTAGAGGGAGGAAAGTCAAAGGGCAAAGTAATCTAATCCTATTTTCATTAAAATGTTTAAGAAACAAATAAGGAAACCAAAACTACACTCTGAAATGGGGATATAACTCAAAAGGAGAGTACTTGCCTATCCAGCATAAAGGACTTCAGTTCTATCCCACACTAAGCAGGAAATGTTTTTCTAACAGAACTCTGTATTCAAAAGAAGCATCATTGATGATCTTCTGTTTTCTTGAAAAGCATTTTTCCAAAGCACTTAAAAGAATTATGCGACACTAAGTCATTGTTTAAAGATTAAAGGTGATTTAATGCATTTGCTCATACCTATCTTTCTATTAGATTTGCGATCATGTACACGTGCCTTTATTGGAATAAGAAATTTAATTCTGGCAGATATTTTGTTTGCTCTGTGGCCACTCGATACCATATGGAAGGAGATGACAAATTTTTGGATGTAATAGAACAGTGTGGGAGGAAAAGCAAATCAAGACTCATTGGAACAAATTACTGGCTACTATCTCCTCTCTTAAATACAATTCTTTGACATGCTTTCACTACCTCTCTAGACACTTGACAACAGATTCCCTAACTCTAGTAGCTTTTCAAAACATTTATCTATGCAACTTCTTTTAAAGTGTTTTCCCCAAAACATTCAAACTGGAACAATTAGCCTGACCTTTGGCATCACAATCTCATTCTAGATGGCTCTTTCCTCGTTCATTTCTTTACTCTGTCTGCTTTCAGTCACTTTTTTTTACGAAGTTCAAGATACATATTTTTGATAAATTCTGTTATTCTGTCTCCATACAACCCCACCCCCTTTTTAAGCAATGTGCTTCTTTGATTGGAGAAACAGCTCAGCAAATAAAATCATCTTCCATGAAGGCTAACGACCCATGTCCAATCCCCAAGATCCCAATGGTGCAGGTGTGTGTGTGTGTGTGTGTGTGTGTGTGTGTGTGTAAATATAAATATATATATTCCAGTATATATAAAAATATCTTCATTCAAACAGTATTTCCTATGTAATAATACTACAAAATTGACATACATTAAAATAAATACCTCATCTATTTCACCAAATTCATTTTTTGCCCAGAATTCTGTTTTAATCATCATAATCAGGACGCCAGCCTTCGTTATCTCTTGTCTGAATAAATGAAACTATTCATAATACTTTTCATTTACTCCATAGTGCTCCATTGGACAAGTACAGAATATCAATTATATAAAATCATATATCTGATGGAGTCACTTCCTGCATATCCTTAGCCATGTTGCAGCTCTTTTTCCTCCATATACAAATTCCAAAACAGAGTGTGGGTCACCAATGCCCACTTCCACCTGTCTGTCCAGGGTGTCTGACTGGGACTTCTCAGTGAGAGCTATTGATGAGTTAAGTAGTTATCTGGTTAAAGCTGGAAAATTCATTTCTTGTAGCTGGGTCCCCCACACCATGGAGAATTCTCTCTTCTGACCAAACGCATTGCTTTCCACAGCCTCCCATGAATTTTCCATGTTGTCTACAATATCTTTGATGTTCCCTGAAGCTGAAAAACTTTCATAGGACTGATATTTTGATAAGTGTGTGTAGTTTGGCATTTATCATTTGCTGACTTTGTGGTATCAACTCTTTTAAGGGAA